TATTCAAGGTATTCAAGTAATTCAAGGTATTATTTCATCTATAATGCATGACTTACAATCCAAATTGTGAAGTGGTGAAAAAGGACTCTCTTTTCATATACATACATGTATTATGCAAAAAGTCATCAGGTGCTATCTTTATCTTTTTTCCTTGAATGGAGAAAAGGAAAGCAGTATGGTTAAATCTGATGGATTATAAGGTAAATCTACACTGTATATGGCTGCCATCGGAACTGATTTCACTGGTCTTTTATCCTAAACCTTGATATGCTAGTCCTACTCAAATTGCATTTCAATTCTCATGATCAATTTTCATTAAAATAGTATGAAACAAGTCTACGCTTAAAATTGTAACCTATTTTAATATCTTTATGCAGAAATGTCTTATAATTTTTAAAAGTCAGACTGTAATGAATTCATTAGAAATACTTTCAACCTTTTTTCAAGAATGTTTTGAAGTAGCGTTGTTTATTTTTTGTCTGGATGCATGTGATAGTGCAGTGTTCATATGTGATGGCATTATTTTTGTTTAGAAATTAATATGATGACTCCTATTATATTTCTCTTAATATATTTATAGTGCTGTTAACTTTGAAGCAAATGTTGTGCTCATTTTTGACAGTAAATGATGGAGTACTAGACGGTGGCTAGCAAAGGAGAGCAAACTTCTTTCCAGTAACTACAGGATGGGATGTGGATTGGTGGCATGTACAGCTGGATCTACCAAGGCAAATCAAACCAGAAAATCAGTGGCCTTTTCTTTTCCTTTATTGAAGTTCTACGAGATTTTTTTTTCTCCCTCGTTGCAACTGAACTGATGTGCTGGCTGCTGTAGAAAAGAGCTGAGACTTTTTTTAAACCATTTCTTGAAAGTGGTCATTGCCCTTGTGCTGTTATTGATTTTAAAAGCAGTACCAGTCAAATCAGTGGAATGATAAGGAAAATGACTGCATTAAAATGGTAGACAGTTTGTATAATGTGTCTCAGCTTACCCTGTGTGCCCCTGTATGTGTTATGAAGCATGCCACCAGTACCATCAAAAGTCAGCAATGCTAAGTGTACACAGACAGATATTTTATTGCTCTGAACAGTGTTGAAACCAGTCATTTGATTGTTTCCAAACTATTAAGGTAGGAATTGCTTAAAAAATGGATATTCACATAGAATTATACGAGTAATTTGGTGAGGGTAAATATGAAGAATACTGCCTATTATTTTATTTTGACTTGCCAGTGAAGTCTTGCTACAAAGAATATCTATTCTCTTGTGCTATTTTCTTATAAATAGGAATTCACAAATATCCTTTGGGCATCATTTTGTGAAAATGAAATATCTGTGTATGTCATTAGATTTAAACTAAAAGTTGCAAAAGACGTCTTCTGTAGTAGATGGTGTTTTTGATGCAATACGGCCTGGAAAGAGCTGCAAGTAGTCCTGATTTTTTTTTTCTTTGCTCATCTAGATCACTATTGTGGGCCCTTAAAATAGTCTGTCTTGGATGCATGTCATTAAATCCTAACCCATGTATCTGTAATACTGGAATTTACGGGTTTAGTTTGAAAACACAGAAGGCAGAGCAATTAACTGCCACAGAAGTCTGATTATCTTAGCTGTCAGTTCATTCAAGGAATTAGTACATAGATGTCCTCCATTGGTAATCAGGGTACATTATATTTTACACTGCATGTAAAGTAACAAGAGCCAGCTCTGCCATGAATAATTTTAGTATGTCTAAATACAAAAATTTAGCCAGCAGGTCAAGGAGAGCACTAAAAATGTTAAGACTAGGCAGCACTGAACTCAACAAAGAAAGGAAGTGGAGACTCTGGCTGTTCAAGTAACAGAAAAGAAATTCAGATTTTAGCCCTAAGCAATGATGACCAGGACTGGGGACCAGGACTGGGGACCAGGACTCTCTGGGATGGGGGAGAGAAATAGGAAAATGAAGCCTGTGGGTCGAGACAGGGATAGTTTATTAAGACAGGAAAAAAAATAATAATAACAGCGATAATAGTACTGCTACTACTAATGTGTATGGAATAAGTGATGCACAATGCAATTGCTCACCACCTGCTGACCAATACCCAGCCTATCCCCAAGCAGATGACCCCCCCCATCCTGGCTAGCCACCCCTATCTATTGTTTAGCATGACATCAGAGGGTATGGAATAACCCTTTGGCCAGTTTGGGTCAGCTGTCCTGGGTCTGTCCCCTCCCAGCTCCTGCTGCACCCCCAGCCTGCCCGCTGGCAGGACAGAGTGAGAAGCTGAAAAGTCCTTGGCTTGGTGTAAGCACTGCTCTGCAACAATTCAAACATCAGCGTGGTATCAACACTCTTTTCATCCCAATCCACAACATAGCACCCTACCAGCTCCTAGGAGGAAAATTATACTAGCTGAAACCAGGACAGCAGTTTTCTGGCAGGTTGTGGGAAGAAGATTGGCTGGCTTGGAGGGGCTTCTGTACACATGGCTTTTAGGCTGCAGCCAAAGTGTTCCTCTAGATCTGGAAGTCTGAAGATGGTTGAGTGATTAGAAAGCTGCCTGGCAGAGAAGGACCTGGAAATATTGGTTGATAGTGGGCTGAATATGAGCCAGCAGTGTGCTCAGGTGGCCAAGAAGGCCAATGGCATCCTGGCTTGTATAAGAAACAGTGTGGCCAGCAGGGCTAGGGAAGTGATTGTCCCCCTGTACTTGGCTCTGGTGAGGCTGCACCTCGAGTACTGTGTTCAGTTTTGGGCCCCTCGCCACGAGAAGGACATTGAGGTGCTTGAGCGAGTCCAGAGAAGGGCAATGAAGCTGGTGAGGGGCCTGGAGAACAAGTCCTACGAGGAGCGGCTGAGGGAGCTGGGCTTGTTCAGCCTGGAGAAGAGGAGGCTCAGGGGCGACCTTATCGCTCTCTACAGGTACCTTAAAGGAGGCTGTATTGAGGTGGGGTTTAGTCTATTCTCCCACGTGCCTGGTGGCAGGACGAGGGGAAATGGGCTAAAGCTATGCCAGGGGAGTGTAATAAATGACTGAGTCCCAAATAGGATTGCAATTAAAGTTTACAATTTATTAAACGAATAGAGGTAAGCAAACAGCGCTGGGTGTACCAGGAGTCTCTACTCCAGCAAGATGCACACAAGTTACATCAGGTGGCTGGTTTTTATGCTCCTAGGCTAATACATATTCATTACTGCTTCTAGCAAAGGCAGGATTATTATAATTAGTTCCCAGAATCCGAACCCTCCCACTGGCACATGCGTATCAGTCTCAGGTGGTCCCTCTGGGGGTCTCTTGTGCTGAAGGCTCATAGTCTTCCTCACAGGCTTTTTCCTTGTCCTTCTCTTTTGTCCATCTTGGCTGGATGTCAGAGACTTGTGCAGTGTCCCATGCAATAGTCATAATAGTTTGCAGTTATTCTGAAACCCCTTCGTTCTCTTATCCCCTATTGACACAAATTGCTGCTCAATTCCTTTGCAAGATACAATAACTATATACATTAACCACTCTGTTTTTCTTAGACTTGTATAACTACAAGGGTATGTAAGACAGAAGGTCACATTTCATCATACCGTGCAGCCCTAGCATTGTTCCATATTGACATGAATCAGATGAACACATTTCATGGGAGGTTTAGGTTGGATATTAGGAAGAACTTCTTTACTGGAAGGGATGTCAGGCTGCCCAGGGAAGTGGTTGAGTCACCATCCCTGGATGTCTTTAAAAGACATTTAGATGTAGAGCTCAGTGATATGGCTTAGTGGAGGACTTGTTAGCATTAGGTCAGAGGTTGGACTCAGTGATCTTGAGGTCTCTTCCAACTTAGACAATTCTGTGATTCTGTGAAATTCTGTATAGAACATATAGATAAAACATATTTTGGGGAAGACAGAAAAGAAATACAAGTTAGCCAATTAAGCAAATCAGCAGCAAAGTTGAGAATGGGACCTACAAATCCTGAATTCCAATTCAGTGCATAACTGGAATCCTTCAAGGTATTATCTCTTAGTTTTTCCTTGTATGCTTGTAATCTTTAATGTAACCTTTGTAAAAAACAGAGCAAGAGGTGTAGATGTAATTATTTAGCTAACTGAAAAAGGTTCCATGAAGTTTGGTACTAAAGTGTTAAAGGCACTGTACTAACTATACACTGCTAACTTTTGATTATGTGTGAATTAATTTAAGATGTAGTTTACACAGGCCAGTCCTTCAGTTTTCTTGGCTGCAGTGAAGTACGTGAGATTATGTAGTATTCTGCCTTCTATTATTCATACTTGCACCTACCTTCTTTAGTCATCTACTTACAAGTTGTTTCTCAGGAGAATACACTGTGCGTGTATTCTGTAGTCTGATTTACATATGTTTTGCTCTATCTGAATCATTTCCAAGTCCCCTGTCATATCCCTGAATAATCAAATGTTGACAGGAGATCATCAGTTTTATTCCATATGGGAATTCCTGTTTACAGTCACAGAATAACATATTTAAGAGATTATGTTTCTTACAGCCATTGCAACTTACAGAATTACTGCCTCATTATTGGCATTTCATACCAAGAAACTTGACAACTAGCTTATGGACTTATGGAATCATGTTAATTAAAGAAGAAAGGCCTTCCTTTCTAAAACCAAGAAAGCTTTTATCTTTAACCTTGTCAAACTGAATAATATACTCAATTTTAGCATGCATATAATTTGTAGGAAATTCTAGCCTGCTTTTGGGAAGAACTGGCAATTCTGAATCTCAGGAAAGGCAAAAAGAGGAAACCATATGAGAATGTTTGGTTTTGACTGTAAGAATTAGCCATGGATTTGAATTTAAAATCTTCTGAATTGAAAGTTTTGTTGTTTAATTTGCCTAGATAGGCAATCGTAATTGGGAAAGAAAGGTCTTCTGAGTCATTTTGTTTCTTGACTTGCAGGAAGCTTAATCATATGAATGCTGTTCAGCTGTTTTTAACAGGAGATGGTGAGAATCACAATGAGAGAACTACTTATTTTAAAATATTTGACATCTGAGAGTCCTCAGATTTTCTCCCAAACTAAAAACTTGCATCCAATAGAATTTTGATTCCTCAATTAAACTAATTGTCCACTGCCATGTTTTGGCCCAACTTCTTTCGCTACTTTCAAGGCAGCTCCAGTATGTTTTTAATTTCACCAACCAGCATGCATTCCTTCACTTAAGCAGTAACTAGATGTACTCGTTTTTGCTCAGAATTTAGATGTACTGTTACTGAACTACTGTCTTTCGTCTGCCTCCATCTCCATTGGTATAGTAAGTATAGATGATGTTGGGTGTTAGTCTCAGCTATGGAATTGGTAGTCTGCTACACTCAAAATCTTGTTTATGGACAAAGAAGAAAAGGAAATTTTTAGATGTATACATATGTGTATATATAGAGAGAGAGATCACCATTTTTTTTAATTGTACAGTTGAAATCTTTGCAGTCTAATTCAAAAATCTTTATTAATCTAAATCTGTTACTAAAAAAAATATAATAATAATAATAATAAAATTAAAATTGCTTTGAAGATACTTAACTTCTTCCCGTTTCTGGGGGCCTATGCCACCCTTTCACTGCTCCTCTGTGCCCTAAGTTCAGTGGCTTTGTTCTTGTGGGGGTGTTACTGTGAGTTGTCAGCATCTGAGTCCTGTGCCAGGAGGAATATGATGGTCGTATTTATGGCTCCTTCTTCCTTACTTTAGAATTCACTAGCTGGGATAATTTTTATTAGTTTTATATCAAGTTTTTTACCTTTGCTGTTATCTACAGCTCCAAGATACACCTGAATTTTTAATGTATGATGCATGTTACATGTGTTGGATACTAATTGTTTTTCCTCTTGGTTACCCCTAGACTCAGTTTTGTCCAGGTCTGCATTTTGTTGTTGATCATGGGTGAGTTGTTTGTAGTCTCCAGTGCCAAGTCTTTGCCTCATCCCCTGTCATCTCATACCTATACTCCTCTGCACTGCATCCTGTGTCTTTACTTCTCAAGGCCTCTTCCACTGGACCAGACCTATATCTCTTCATACTACGTCATTATCTTAGTCATAGGTATCTTATTCTGCATGGAGTAGAAGTTTGTTTAAAGCTATGGTTGTACTGTACAAAGATAAACAAAAGTGAAACAAATGAGGGGGACACACCTGGTCAGTTAAAGGAGTCTTGGCTATGCCAAGTAAAACAAAGCTGTGGGAAAGTCAAGACAAGCTCAGAGAGAGCAAACCTGAGAAGCCTTGCAAATTCACCATGAAGCTTATGGCCTGAAATTAGCAATGGTAGTATTATATTGCAGAGGTATAGGATTGCAGCTATAAGAACTTTTCAAAATGCAGTGATGTTTGCTTATGTAGCCCATGTGCTGCTCTTACTACGCTCAAGAAGAACAAGTAATTAACACAGCAGCTATGTTCCCATGTCTCTGAAAAGAAGGCCATGTTACGCAAGTGTGGTCAGTAGGGTCTGGCTGATGTGTGATCAGCAATACTCATTTGAAAAGAGAGAATGTTTCAGAGCTTGCCAAAATGTGAATTGCAGTTTCTGAGTGCATGACCACATGGCTGAAAAAGTGGTGAGCTAGTTGTCTTTCAGAGCAGCAAACAGTGCCACTGTAGGATAAAAAGGAAAAGCTGAAACCAGGAGATCTATTGTGCAGGATGGAGAAATGATCCCTTTTGCCAAAGATGTGGTCTGAATACTTACAACTCACTGCCTGTGCATCTGGTACAACCTACGCTGCAGCGTTGGCAGTCAGGAAGAGAGCACCGGCCTTGTGAGCTAAGCAGAACGCACCCTTCTAGCCGTCTTGGCTCCTTCAGTGGAGCTCCATGAGGAATAGTTCAACTTCTAGCTGCTGAAAAGATCACAAGATATCCCATAGAGTACCTTCCTGAGTTTCTTCAACAGTGTAGTACGTATATGTTCAATAAACTCAGTCCTCTGTAAAGTCTTTGAAACTATATATTGTATTTACTTCATTTAGAAAGTTATTATTATATGTTTTAACTAACAGTATCTGGAATTGAAGGCTTACATTTCTTTAAATTGATTATAATGATTCATTCTTTACCTTTTCTTAGGCAGGTAGGTGGTGATAAAATGGGATTGTACAGGATGATGAATGTTGGCACACTGTGTCAGTTTGATGTAGTAGATCTGGTGCTCTGGCCCAGGGCTGATGACACAGAATCTGCCTAAAGGGTTGTGTACTCAGTATCTGTTGTGATTCATTTGTGGTCCAAATCCAGCCAATAAAAATAAACTGGAGGCACCAGTGCGCCAAGCAGAATCGGGAATGACCAATGTTACACCTATTAGCAGTGTTAGTATGAGCGGTCCACTTGTGAAGACCTGTAGGAGCCAGCAGCAGCACAATAAACCCCAGAGACTTTTGTAGAGCTCTACAATGCAGTCTGTTAGTCTTAAATTATTCTGTGCTGAATGGATTATTTCTGCAATTAGGTTTATATTGCAGAGTGTAGGCATTAATAAATGAGGGAGGTGTAGCACTGTAACTGCAGACAGCTATTTTTAAAGATATCCTCAGTTAGGCTTAAATTAAAGTTAACCTATCTGTCATCTCTTCTCTGAGACAGACGTTCCCCATGCTCCTTTACATATGGTTTGAATACCCTCTCAATATCACAGAATCACAGAATTTCTAGGTTGGAAGAGACCTCAAGATCATCGGGTCCAACCTCTGACCTAACACTAACAGTCCCCACTAAACCATATCCCTAAGCTCTACATCTAAACGTCTTTTAAAGACCTCCAGGGATGGTGACTCCACCACTTCCCTGGGCAGCCCATTCCAATGTCTAACAACCTTTTTGGTAAAGAAGTTCTTCCTAACATCCAACCTAAAACTCCCCTGGCGCAATTTTAGCCCATTCCCCCTCGTCCTGCCACCAAGCACGTGGGAGAACAGGCCAACCCCCACCTCACTACAGCCTCCTTTAAGGTACCTGTAGAGAGCAATAAGGTCGCCCCTGAGCCTTCTCTTTTCCAGGCTGAACAAGCCCAGCTCCCTCAGCCGCTCCTCGTAGGACTTGTTCTCCAGGCCCCTCACCAGCTTCGTCGCCCTTCTCTGGACTCGCTCAAGCACCTCGATGTCCTTCCTGTAGCGAGGGGCCTAAAACTGAACACAGTAATCGAGGTGCAGCCTCACCAGAGCCAAGTACAGGGGGACGATCACTTCCCTAACCCTGCTGGCCACACTGCTTCTTACACAAGCCAGGATGCTGTTTCCAAGGTTTGTTTGCTGATTTTGTGTATTTCTCTGTAGCTGCACTGTTCTTTTGTATACTGCAGAAAGATCTAGAGGATTTTCTCAGTTCTTCAGCCAAACATCCTTGGCAACGAGCTGAATCTTCTATTTAATGATGAGGGGTTACCCATCATTTTAAAATGTGTTTACCCTGTATGTTCTCATTCCTATTTATCAAAAGTGCATGCTGCAAATGTTCACTGTTTGCTGCTTGGAAGAGACAAGCCAGTGCATTGCATTCACAGAAACTGAAAACAGCAACAACAAAAAATATACTGAACGGTATCCTAAAGCTTGTTTCATCATAATCTGCAAAAGAAAATACAGTGAATTTTGGACTGAATTTCTTTAACCATCACTGTTGCACATAACTGTTTTTTTCCAAAAGCAAATTATACATTTCCTCTTCACTAAAATGTGTTAATTGCTTGACAGTAATTATTCTACCTTTGCCTCATTACCAAATAAAACATTATGGCTTAAATATCCTGAATGGTAGTGGCTAATATTCTGTACCTTTGATTCATTTGTATGTTTATAAAAACCCTTCAGATTTGTTGAGCATTTTAATATTCTTTCATATTTGAGGAAGATTTTTACAATGGGATAAGTAGATGGAGGAGGAAGGAAGAGGACTAGGAATCATTATAAATGTTTTAAAACATCATTACTGTATTTGAGAACCCAATAATATCAGTTCTGTTTAAATGACACAACAGTATTTTTGTAACATATGGGAGAACTTGATAGTAATTTGCAGTCCTATACAGCTTTCCATCTAAGGCTTTGAAGTGCTTTATAAACATTGATGAACTAAATCTCTTAGCACTCAAATAATGATAAGATTAGAGGACACATTTTCAGGATGCAAAACCTATACAGAGAAAGAGGAGCTAGCAATAGCTTAGGCCTCTACCCATGGACCAAAGCTGTGGTGGCATTTCTTTTTGGAGTGATACATCTCATATCATGGGTAAGAACAGCAGGTTCTTGAGAATCTGTTGTGGGCCTATTTCACTCCAAGCCATAGGATGAAAGTCTCTTTATTCTTCTTGTATTTTAGCCATGTCATCATCTTTCTTCTCTCAAAATGGAGACCTCAGATATAAGAACATTCTTAAAACTATTTACTTGCTTGAAAAGAGAATCTTTTCTATGTGTTCCTGAAGATAAGACAAAATTTAGTTTCTATGAGTTTGACTCATTTCAAATCCTGTTACTCACACCACTGCTTTTGAAGCTAAAATGCCTAAGCAGAAATGTAGTGATGTAAAGCTGCATTTTGTCATTGTTCCTAGATGGTGTTGATGCAAATGATTGCATGGATGTCTTAGTACTGGCAAACAAAATAAACAAACAAAAAAGACAAAAACTAGTGGGAAATGGGGGTGTTGAATTTCTTTTATGAGCTTATAGGTGATCTGCAGAAGCTTCTAACTAGCCTGAAAAAAATCAGGTATAATCATTTCTGTGGATGTCAACATTTTCATCTGTAATTGCAAAATGTTCTGTATGCAATGGTCATGAAGGAATATAAGCCAACCCTGCAGGCTGACATAATGACTTCTTTTTTGATTGTGGAAATACAAACTATATAACTGTTCCTGTGTGATAATCTTTCTAGATGACGTTATGCAGATATTTCTCCGTAATCACCAGTGACAGGACCTGTGGGGACAGTGTTAAGCTGAGGCAGGGGAAGTTTAGGCTGGACATCAGGAAGAGGTTCTTCACCGAGAGGGTGGTTGCACACTGGAACAGGCTCCCGAGTGAAGTAGTCACAGCACTAACCTGTCAGAGTTTAAGAAGTGTTTGGACTGTGCACTTAGTGACATGGTCTAAACTTTTGAGTAGACCTGTGCGGTGCCAGGAATTGGACTTGATGATCCTTATGGGTCCCTTCCAACTCAGGATATTCTATGATTCTAGATACTGAATGACTTTCTTTATTAGTTACTGAGTGGCAAAGGCGAAATGGTATAATGTTCCATTGAAACAAATAAACAAAATTTAGTTGTGTCATGAAATGTGCTATTTAAATAGGACTTGCTTGCAATAGTAATTAAATCTTTTTGTTGTTGTTGTTTTGTTTTGTTTTTAAGCTTGTTACATCCTAAGAAACTTTTTGAAAGGGAGCTTAGGATTGCGAGGAAAAAAAGATTACAAAAAGTAAAGGTTGAGAATTTGGGCAAAGTTGTGTTTTCCTGAAACTGAAAATAATCAACAAACAAATGGATATGGAACTGTTGCCATCTCAGGGAGAAAGATTCAGCCTGCTAAAGCAATGACTACACGTTTGTTGTTGTTGTTGTTTTTTTTTTCCTAGTCAATTTTATTAGACAGTAGTAGTATGGCAAGGAAACTCATATCTCCATATTGAAAAAAAAATCAATGTAGTAATGGGACCTTTTATATAATTTTCCTGACTTTTTGTGTAGGTGGGTGTATGTGTGTGTTTATGGGTGTGTGTAATTGTTAGAAACTCAGAGATGGCATTAGGGACATTCATTTGGAGGCATTCAGTTCTAGCAATGCTGTAGAAACGTGCTCTGGTGGTCAATGTAAATAGGGTGCAGGCTTGCTATCTTCTGGCTGTTCTACTTAGCAAGTGTCATCCATTGATACACAG